TGGGATTGTGTTTTTCCGATGCAAATCGATGAGCTCTATTCAGCCATGCCAAAAAAGAGAAAAATATATATTTCCTACTGTGATTTTGAATTACCGGCACCTTTCTAGCAATCGAATATTTGCCCCCGTTCTTTTCTTTTAATTTTTGTCCAATATTTCTGGTTTTTTTTTGCAAATAAATCAAGTAATGGTCACGAAAGTCAAATACTTAAATTACGTTATTGACTTGTAAAGCATTTGGTTAAGCATATATTCAATTAGCTCGCGGAACAATTAATTATCAAGTGCTCATAGAATATATAGCAGTAAATAAATATCCATTCACAAATACATTCACTAGTGATGAGCCTTAAAACCTTTGTTTGATCAAAGTCATCCAGTATAACTTACTAGTTTTGTATTATTAAGTCATCACAAGAGCAAATGGGCCCAAGAAAACATTAGAAGATAATATATGTTCTTTACCAATGAGATGCCAAGATTTTCTATTTCCATAATTGAAAAATCCTGATACAGTTCGATCAGATTCAAATCCGACAAATGTCGTTGATATAGCGTCTAAAATATGAAAAAAAGAACAAAACAGATACTCTTTCAAATGTATTAACATTAACAGTTATATTGATTTTAGACAAAAATTCTTATTTACGACTCGAATAAACGAAATTCATAAAAATTCCAGACAACAAAAAATGATGTTTATTTTGTATTGAATTATTTTATTTACCTGCCACTTGTCCAATCAGTAATAAATATCCGGCTGATGAATTGGAAAATTTTACAATTCGATGATAAAAGACAAGTAAATAACTAAACCACATTGATGCACATAAATCATTGAGTACATGACCGACACTGTAAGAAAATTTTTGATAAGGTAGAATAACGTCGGGATCCATCGTATAACAAAGAAAAAGATGACAAACAAAAAACAGACAATAAAAGAAAGAAATCTAAAAGAAAAACAACATTTTTAAGAAGAATTTGTTATCTGTTGTAAAAGTTACGATTATTGTACTTGGACTAGAAAATATTCAATACACTAAACAGGTATAAACAAAGCAAATTAAAGTTACATCGAATCTGTCACTATTATTCACACTGTCTTACGATTCATGCAAGACAATCAAACAAAAAGTTATATAATAACGTTTCATTATGGTATCTGGTGTTGATACAAGCAGATACTTTATTCACGATATAGTAGGACAGGAATTTAAAAGATCCCAGTGAAAATACACAACGGATCTCGTAGTAAAGGCGGCGAGATGAAAGTGAGAAGTCTAACAAAGAAAACCACAATCTTTTGTGCGTTATTTACACAAGTTTTTCTATACGGGATCATCCATTATGCATTTTCACCGGGATCTTTTCTAACTTTATCCGATATAGTGCATATAGTAAAAAGAAAAGCAAAATAAGAAGGATATTCTCTTTATTTCACTTACTGGTAGAAGAATGAAAGTACTTGCACTAATTTTACTCAAATTAAATACAGCTGACTAAGGTAACATATTTTAACAAATGGATATTAATCTTTCCTATAGATTTTTTCCAAATTCATCAAAATAAGAATTGAAAATTAAGCGAAAAGAGTCAAATTTAAAAGTCTACTGTGATGAGAGAAATTTCTAGCATAAAGTACAATGAAAAGTAGGATGTACGAAAAACGTTAGTAATATGTCTAGGGTCATTCTTTCGTAAGCGTATCAGAGTTTAAACCGACTTTATCCGAATCATTAAATATTAATCGGGCTAGTATAACGCGAACTTCTGATTTCGAATATGACACTCATAAAATTTTAAAACAAGAGCGCGCCGCCCTTTTGTACTGAGGGATATCAAGAGATGCAGAATCTACCCGTGAGATTGAAAAATTTCACTCAGCAGAAAAAAATCCTCGACATAATCCATGAACAGAATTTCTTTTTGAAAAAAATTTTCCTTGTTGAACCGTTGGAGCAAACAGACAGATGCTGCAGCTCTGAGTATATCTCATCTTCTAGCAAAGCGGACATTTTCATCATTTATTAACGAAACATTTTTATAGATTCAAAATCTTTAACGGACACAAAATTTCAAAATTTTATGCGTTAAGAAGAACCTCAGGAAAATTTTTAAAAACGTTTTGTTTTGTAAACCATATTTTCCCCACAAAATCAAATCAAAAAACAAGATATGCATTCGACGCATCTGTTTAAGTTCTATCCGATGAACTTGTTCTCATTAAGATTTGAAAATGTTTAATCATAGGAAACAGCCAACTTTTAAAGGTCATGTTCTTTGTTTTTCAAAGTTTGAGCACGTACTGCACTATTTCACGAGATTATAGAGCGGGTATTGACATGCATTTTTAACGTACTAGACGTAGACTATCAGAAAAACAGATTTTCGCCTTTCGTTGAGGACTTTCAGAAAGAGGGTTGCGGATTCTGTGATATTTTCTGGAAAAAAGCTTTTTCTTGGAAATTTGATCCTTTTTCCTTACTTTACTTAGTCGGGCTGAGTGAAAAACTGATACATACAATATCCAGTGTATATACACTGTTCCAGTTCTCTCTTGATCTGGTATTACGTGCTAAATGTGATATTCAATTGATTAACCTTTCACCTCCATCAGCGGGATATTGTAGATTTGCTATAATAAGATGACGATGCGTCGAATCAAAAAACGCATTATTTTCTAGTGTAAGGTTACATCATGAGCTAGTCATTGCTAATAAGAAATTTTTTTTTCTTCGGGTGTAAACAAAGTTATGACAGTTTCAAGGTCGTTTTGCAAGATAAGCTGCCGAGAATAAAGGATTAAATCATTTTTTGATAGTATGATAGCTATTATTACATTTATTAACACATTTGTCTGTTTATTTGTGGCTCGAACAAGATTTTTTTGTCTGTTTATTTATACATGGTTGGACAGACCACATCGAGCTGACTTATGTCGAAAAATTGAAAAAATTCGAAAGGTCTAAATTTTCGAAAAACCTCAAATTTTGTTCTTTTTCGTTCTTCTGACTTGTTGAAAGTATTTTTTTAGATTCGGCATCAAAAACATTTTTCGTTGATTTCTATTTTTTGATGAAAATCTCAGTGATTTTTTTCGTGATTTTTATCCCATTATTTAGGGCTTCACGCGTTTTGTCTATTACTACAAAGCCTTATTCAGAACAATTACAATCATCAACATATGATTTAGTAAAATTTTTCCTGAAAAATTTCCTCGAACCGAAGAATTTTCTCCCGACCAGTGTTTCTAGTGACTGGTGGTCCCTGTGAGAGCAAAGTTATCTTCCACTTGTAAAAACGAAATCCACTCCACTCTGTTTTATTGTAGTTATTTTGGTTTATCTGTTATTAAATAGATGCCTGTTACATTTCCTTTAAAGAAAAAGAAAAGACAAGACGTTTCTTTTGTTTTACTCGTATCACAAAAACCTGCGCAGAACAAATTTAACTCCAGTTATAAAAGCTGAGTTAGGTACACGTTTTAGAACGCAAGCATAAAACAGTTTTACAAACGCTGTTGGCTGAAAGTTTATTTGAGACCACTTTGTCCGCTTTCAAGTTTAGTGCAAAGTGGATAGTGCCGCTTTATGATTCAGAGCAAACTGGTTGATTCCATTTTGATGACGGATGTCATTACAAAAACGCCGCTCTGTCCGGCATAGGTTAGACAGGGATATTCTGCACCTCTTCTCATCATTCAAGGATCTATTGTACACTTTCTTTCTGCTGTGTACACTTATCGTTAAAAACATTGCTGCAGTTTCGTAATTGCTAGTTCCTGTGAAGGAGAAAATTACGAACTATTCAATCTGACCTGTTTTGCAACTTAAAAAAGAAACGCATAAATAAACACGAACAATTTTTTTCAATTCATCAGTAGCTATTCCCTCCGTTAAAATTCATCTTGAGTCGGGCGTAAATAACTAGATGCCGACTGCGCTCTGCGAAGAATGGAAGCCGACTGTGTGGACGCTCGTGAGAAGCAAGTAAGACAGAAACGAAAATGTAAATATTAAGAAGAGAATAAAAATCTTAATAAGTCTCTCTAATGCACTCACACTATTGACGGCAAGCGTTCTCTATGTCTATGTATAGCATTCTCTTCTTCTCTTTCACATAATCACGTGTTAATTATCTCGATCATGGAAAGTTTCTAAGTCCCAACTTTTGAATGACCCTGTTTAGGGCATATATCTGAGAAAACTAAAAAGGGTAACGCAAAAACAACCTCGGATGTGTCGTATTCAGTGTGAGTTTTACATTCTCTTGTTTGTCCCAGTTTTCTATTGACTTGAAATTACCGAGATCGACGGGCAGAAAAACGCGCTCGAGGTGTAGGAAAAGAAAGAAAGAAAGAAGAACATGCGAACTCTGAAGAAAAGCAATAAGCCGACAAGTTCACTAAGTTCACTCAGTCAGCTTAAATAAATAAATTTGCCTTGTAATTAAGCTCCAATGATTACCTCTAACAGAATCGTGTACTATTACTTCTGTATTGGTGGAAAATGAACATCAGAAAAAACATGATAATGATGTCGCTTAGATACGTTGACATAAGAAATGATTCTATTGTTCTTCGTCCTAAATCATCGTAAGACTAAGATGAAGACTAACTGATTTACGAAACGTGAGAGTCATCAAAGATCACCGATCTGTAATAAAATGACTCAAGCCAAACATAAAAGAGAATATAACGATAAATAGACAAAAGAAAAAATTAGAGTAACGGATAGACGGGTTTGTTGAGACCGAGATAGGGAATCATTTTTCAAAGAGAATAATGACGAAAAATAGATAACTGATTCTGGAAGATTGTTCCTATCAGTGAAAGTAGAATGAAAAAACGATAAAAAAACTGTTTTAGAAGAGAAATCATTAACAAAAGCTAGAATACGGACATATTTAGAGTGATGAAGACGTAGGTAAGAATAGTGCGGTGGAGAAACCGAATAAAAAAAATAGAAAGTGGACTAAAGCGATGATAAATTTTGAAAACCGTACAAGTCTGAAATATTTACGCGAATCGAGAGATCCGGAAGAGAAAGTTATGAGACACAAAGCTAGAGAAACGCCGTTTCTCGGTGATAAGTTGCAAAACAGGTCGGATTGAATAGTTCCTAATTTTCTCCTTCACAGGAACTAGCAATTACGAAACTGCAGCAATGTTTTTAACGATAAGTGAAAAAAATAGAAAAGTGGACTAAAACGATGATAAATTAGAGAAAAAAATTAAGAAAGTTATGAGACACAAAGCTAGAGAAACGCCGTTTCTCTAGCTTTGTGTATCATAACTTTCTCTTCCGGAT